TTACCAATTGATAACCAGCCACTGTCCGGGCACGCCCAGATCACCTCCCCAACCATCCCAGAAAACTCAGCCTCTCCATCAAGGACCCCTTAGACCTTCCCATAATCTGGCCCCCCCAAAACAGTAAAACCTGATACAGCAGGGGCAGGAGGGGCCTTGGACACCTCCCTCCCTGTCCCCTGCTATCCCACACCATAGCTAGTGTCCTTTCTGATTGCTCAGTGCCATGCTACACTCAGTGTTAAATAGTAGGACTAAAATCTCTGCTTACAGAAGGCAGTTGACATGGAATGAGAAAGTGGAGGTGAGGGGAATTTGGAGTTGGGGCTTTGGAAGAGAAAGGCTATTAGATTAGACTGATTAGAGTAGAGCCAACACATTAAAATGTATTAGGGCAAAACAAAGTCCTACATTTAAGTTTAGAAAAATAAGGGCACATAATAGAGTGGGGTGCCCTGATGGGTGAGCCAGAGACCTAAGTATTATAACCAATTACAAGCTTTCTATAAGCTACTAAATAATATGGCAGAACATTCACTAAGAAGTGAATGACAGAACAAATATTTACTTACATGAGAAGGCTGGCCAGGGGCCCATGAGCCCTCAGCTGGGCACCAATGCATGGCCCAAAGATCAAAGCGAGGAAGGAAACTGCTTATCCTGTCCATGGCTGCAAACACACCTGAGTCTGGCCTTGGTGGTGGTGTAATAATTAAGTGGCACAGAGAACTTGCCACACCCTCTGTCCACTCAGACTGAACCGGAGTAATGAGTTCAAGTCCCCAGCAGAGGACCCTGACGGCCAGAAACACACCAGAGTGGCCTGAGAACCACTTGGTGCTGCTAAGGGCCCCATGTGTATTTAACCTGGGGAAGAGTAAGGAGATAAGAGACAGATAAAGCTGGCAAGATAAATTTACTTTCCTTTCTCTAAATGGAAAACTACAGTTACATCGTTATCTACTCTTAAATGTCTAGAAATATCTAGATACTATTGGGAGAGGCTGCAGCCTTAGTCTGTGTGGCTCTACAGGGCTCAAGTTGGAGCTCTGTGTCGATGTAGCAGGGGGCAGATTTGACTGAAGGCAATTTTCCCAGAGTCAGAGTTCTCCACAGGTGAAGAGAAGGGAGGGATTTTGTTCCTTGGTATTCAGGTCAGAGGCTGGGCATACCACCTGTCAGGGACACTTAGAGGGGGCATTCCTATGGGGGGCATGCTAGGAAGGAATGCTTGTTTCCTTCTCCTTGATTTCCACAAAAGGGCATCTATTTCTACTCCATGCTCCCAGAGGAGAAATATAAACAAAATAGTTCCCATTTCTCTCCAGATGTACATATATCTCCTCTCACCTGCCCACTGGTAAATTTAGTGACTTTATGAATCTGTTAATTTAGAAAAGAGCCTCTATTATTCTGTTTGAACTGCCATAACAAAATACCACAGACTGGGCAGCTTAAACCACAGAAATTCATTTTCTCACAAAACAAAGGCTGAAATGATCAAGGTGCAATTCTGGTTGGTTTCTGGTGAGGCCTCTCTTCCTGACTTGCAGACAGTGGCCCTCTCACTGTGAACTCAAGTGACCTTTCACCTATGTACATAGGGAGAGAGATCAACCTCTGGTGTCTCTTCCTCTTCTTATAAAGACTCCAATCTCTTCAGATTAGGGACTCACACTTATGACCTTATTTAAGCTTAGTTACCTCCCTAAAAGTTCTATCTTCAAATAGTCACATGTGGGCTCACAATTCACCATACAAATTGTGAGGGAACACAATTCAGTTCTTAACAGGGGCTGAGCATGCTGGCGCTACAGATCTGCCTACCCACAGAGAAGGTGTGCTCTGTCCCCTTCCTTACCACATGATACACTCGGCAGGGCAGCTTCTGCCTGTGAGGGGGAGCCTGTGGCTTCCCAGCCCTGCCTGTGGCAGGAGGTACATTTCATTTGGAAATCAGAAAATATCAGGAAGCCTATTGGGACCTCATCTTAGCCACAGACTCCATTCTACTTTTATTAGTAATACGGCTGATATTTTGATTTTCACCTGCCTAACTCTGTGTCTTATATCTCAGTTGTGGGAAAAAGGAGTGTTATTTAATGGATTCCTAAAACAAACAGGGGAGGAAGCTGGAAACATGACCTCCTTCTAAGATCACACCCCATTTTAGTCCCATGTGTTTCTTCCTATGTCTGGTTAGAAGCCACAAGCAGCTAAACTTTTTGATGCGAGATAAATTTGTGCTTGGGATAAAGATGTTACCCATGGGTCACTCTGCCATTCCTTTTAGAGTTAGCATGTATTTAGCATCCAGATTTGCCAAATTTCTATCAAGGAAATATCAGCCCAGGTGATGTCGGCAAAACAATATGATGTCTCTCCAGGTAAATATTGACCTATTTCTGAGCTTTCTGAAAAAGCAAACATCTCAACAGTTGCTTATAGCCTCATGAAATGCTTTCTGTTCAACACAGATGTGGATACCCCAGGAAACAAATGAATCCTTGTTTGTTCTGTTTATTTGAGGGATTTAGTAAGTCTGACTCTCCCATGAAAGTTTGGATAAGCTCCTAGAAAAATAGTAACCTTCTGAAAAGAGGCTCACCATTTGGCTACTTCACCCAAATAAAATGCATTAATTCCTGGAAAAAACAACAGTTTAAATTAGGTGCAAGAGATGAGAAGGCTAGTGCCCTCCTATGCATATCCCAACTTCTTCCTCTCCTTAGAAGTACCCCATCAGGCCAGGCACAGTGGCTCACACCTGTAATCCTAGCACTCTGGGAGGCTGAGGCAGGAGGATCACTTGAGGTCAGGGGTTGGAAACCAGCCTGAGCAAAAGTGAGGCCCCATCTCTTTAAAAAAAAAATAGAATCAGCTGAGCAACTAGAAATAGAAAATATTAGCCAGGCGTGGTGGCGCACCTGTAGTCCAAGCTACTGGGGAGGCTGAGGCAGGAGGATTGCTAGATCCCAGGAGTTTGAGGTTGCTGTGAGCTAGGCTGACACCACAGCACACTAGCCTGGGCAAAAGAGTCAGATTCTGTCTCCAAAAAAAAAAAAAAGGAGAAGAATGCCTCCTTCAGTCCCAAGCAGGAAACTTGAGCTCTCTTACTGTGCACTTAGAGGGCTCTAGATAGCCATAGGCATACATACACGACCATGCCCTAAAGCTACTTGCCTTTCTCTAAACGGAAAGGCAGTTACCCAAATACAAGCCTTGGTTGGCATTTCAGTGGTGCACTAGAAGCCATCACAGGCTAGATGGGGCTTTGCGCCCAAGAGACTTCCAGTTTGAATGAGGCAGAAACTGGAAAAAAATAAGCAACTCACTGAGACCCTGCTGATCTTCACCCTCCACTATCAGGCTTTGAAGAATAGAGTAGTTTGTTCTCTTAATTCTTAAAAAGATCCTTCTGAAGGTAAAATCCCTAATGCATAGTTCTTTGTTGCTTTCTGGACTTACCCAGGTGCCTACATGTGCCCATTGCCAAACCTGGGCAATTGGAAGAAGATGATATAAGTCGGTTTTTTCCCCTCCTTCCAACTTCCCAAAGATGTAGAGAAGAGGATACAAGACAGCTAGTCAGGAATCCTGGGTGACCTCAGGCATCTCATTTCTCTGGGTTTCCTCTCCCTCAATAATGCTACATCAGTGTTTCCCAAATTTTGTAGATAATTAGAATCTCCTGGATAGCTTTTAAAAATACAGATTCTAGGCACTTGCTCTAGGAATTTTAATCCATTAAGTCTTGGACAGGAACTAGGAATCTTTATATTTTATGAGTACCTCTAACCCGAATCAGACTATGAGCAGGCAAGATTTAGAAAATACTGAATTAGATGGTTTTTTTGTTTGTTTTTTTTGAGACAGAATCTCACTGTGTTGCCCAGGCTAGAGTGCTGTGGCATTAGCCTAGCTCACAACAATCTCAAACTCCTAGGCTCAAGTGATCCTTCTGCCTCAGCCTCACTAGTAGCTGGGACTACAGGCATGCACCACCATGACTGGCTAATTTTTTCTATATATTTTTAGTTGTCCAATTAATTTCCTTCTATTTTTAGTAGAGACTAGGTCTCGCTCTTGCTCAGGCTGGTTTCGAACTCCTGACCCTGAGCGATCTGCCAGCCTCGGCCTCCCAGAGTGCTAGGATTATAGGCGTGAGCCACCATGCCTGACCCTGAATTAGATGGTTCTAAAAACCCTTTCCAGATATGGTGAAGGAAATCTTAGATGGATCATTTCAATTCAGCAGGGGAGTAGCTGTCTGTCCCCAACCCTTACCCATTCAGATGACTTAACTGTGTGGAGCACGTTGAGACCAGCTCTTTCTTGGCAGGGCCTTTGTAACTAACTGCAGTCAAGGAGCTAATTAAATGTCCAGAATACCTGGTAACTTTGTACTTATTCCTTCTTGTGCTGTAATTTACCAGCTAGTTTTATCCAAGTCTTCAAAAGTTTGCAGAAAATGTTTTAGTCTATAATAATAACATCTCTGGAATTCAAGGAGTGACAAAGATGAGATATTATTACACAAACATTATTATGCATGCTTTCATAAGCATGTGTAACAAACAAATTTCGTTGATTCCTCTCTTCTCTTTTGTCTTCTATTGTCTTTTATTTTCTAGTGTCAAGCTTCTATTCTCAAAAAGAATACCACTGGGTAGAAGAAGAACTTTATAGAGTTGAAATGAGAAAGAAAAGAGAAGGGAAGGAAGGAAGGAAGGAAGGAAGGAAGGAAGGAAGGAAGGAAGGAAGGAAGGAAGGAAGGAAGGAAGGAAGGAAGGAAGGAAGGAAGGAAGGAAGGAAGGAAGGAAGGAAGGAAGGAAGGAAGGAAGGAAGGAAGGAGATACACTAGATATTTTTATCACTGTAAGCATTGACATTTTGAAAAAATAAAGTTTCATGCTTTTTAATTCAGCATCACACAGAAAAATGGAAAATTTTAGAAGGAGTTTTGGCATTAAAAACTCAATGATTTGTGTTTCTAAGAGGATGGTGGATGAGGTATGCTGATTGCCCCACCCACTGAAAAATTACTGAAAATGCTGTATGGACCACTTTCAAACTCCGACGCCATCATGTCGCCCGAAGATGAGCTGGACGGGTACGAGCCGGAGCCTCTCGGGAAGCGGCCGGCTGTCCTGCCTTTGCAGGAGTAGGTCGGGGAGGCCAGTAATGGCTCCGGCACGGAAGGGTCCCTGCCCTCGACGCCGCCCCCAGCAGAGGAGGAGGAGGAGGACGAGTTGCACCGGCAGTCGCTGGAGATTATCTCTCCGTACCTTCGGGAGCAGGCAACCGGCGCCAGGGACGCAAAGCCAATGGGCAGGTCTGGGGCCGCCAGCAGGAAGGCGCTAGAGACCTGACGACGCGTCGGGGACGGTGTGCAGCGCAGCCATCACACGGCCTTCCAAGGCATGCTTCGGAACTGGACATCAAAAACGAAGACGATGTCAAATCTTTGTCTCGAGTGATGGTCCATGTTTTCAGTGACGGCGTAACAAACTGGGGCAGGATTGTGACTCTAATTTCTTTTGGTGCCTTTGTGGCCAAACACCTGAAGAGCATAAACCAAGAAAGCTGCATCGAACCATTAGCAGAAAGTATCACAGACGTTCTTGTAAGGACAAAACGAGATTGGCTAGTCAAACAAAGAGGCTGGGATGGGTTTGTGGAGTTCTTCCATGTAGAGGACCTCGAAGGCGGCATCAGAAATGTGCTGCTGGCTTTTGCAGGTGTTGCTGGAGTAGCAGCTGGTTTGGCATATCTAATAGATAGCCTTGTATGTGCAGTAATGGGCTTCTAACCAACAACAGCCACCAGAACCACATACATCTGTGAAATCAAATGTATTTATGAACTTGGACTTAAAGCTGGCCAGGCTGTAACCTCCAAGAGTTCCACTCTAGCAGCCTAGCCAGAAAAGCAAGTGGCAAGAGGATCATAGCTAACAAGAATAAATACATGGGAAAAGTAGTCCCCCTTGATTGAAGAGTCACTGTCTGAAAGAAGCAAAGTTCGGTTGCAGCAACAAACAAACCTTGGGAGGCCATGGAGGAGGACTTTCAGATTTAGTGAAGATAGTAGGGTGGAGAGACTTACTTCCTTGTTGAGAACAGGAGAGTGGCCAGTAGCCAGGCTAGTCATAGAGTTTATTAAATATGCCCACGAATTTATTAATTTCCTGTAGTGTTAAAAGAGCACTAACAATGCCAGTGACCTACCTGTATGAAATGAATTTAAGCTACAAGTAATAGAACTATGACTACAAGCCTCAGTACTGTACAGCAGAGTGTGAAGGGAAGCTTTTCCTCTCTCTTAACTTTCCCAGGTGTAATTCTTGGAGAATGGAAAGTCCAAGTGTTCAGGACTTTTATACCTGTTATACTTGGTTTGAATGATTGTTAGTTTAATAGCCTAGTAATGGTCAAGAATACTTGACTTAAGCCTGAATAATTGTAATATTGAATATCCTCAATTTTTAAGACAGAAACAACTTGAAAATGTATTTGTCCGTAAAAATTGTATATATTTTTACAGAAAGTCTATTTCTTGGAAAAATAAAGGGGGGGGAGTATTGAATTTAAATTCATATTTTTTTTTCATATCCTTTTGAACTTTGCAACTTCTGTAGTTAGAAACCTATTTTTTACAGCTTTTCTATGCTAAACTTTGTCCTGGTCAATTCTAGAGTGTATACAGAACTGATTGATATAATTGTGTGCAACCTGGCTGTAATGGAACAAATTTGATTCATAACTATGCAGGCTTTAATTTTCCCATCTGATTTTGGTAAGTATTCCATAGATAGGTTTTTCTATGAAAACCTGAGATTGAGAGGTTGAAGAATGGAAATTAATCTTTTCACTTTGTTATATGTAGGTTTTCAATAATTGGGTCAAAAAGGAGTTTTATGGTTGGGGGGACTGTACAAATAATGGGCTCTGATTGGGCAACTACTTATTTGAATTCCTTTCATTTGATCTAATTTAACTGATGAAACTTAAACTGAGTTCATGAGTTCATCTTTAAAGCTTATACTAAAAGATTTTCAGCTGTTCCAAATGGGACTTGTTACTGTGTATAAAAAGATCACATCAGGTGGATGGATGAGAGAGATTTGATTCCTTGTTTGCTTAATAAACTGTAAAATAATGGCTTTGAAAAGCAAGTTAGAGTCTAACCATGGTGCTATTATTAAGGCTTGCTTGTTAAACACAGGTCTAAGCCTAGTATGTCAATAAAACATACTTATTGTTTCATTTCTGTTAATGATTCCCAAACTTTGTTTTCAAATTTTTGTGTTGGCATCTCTTTGGATTTCAGATTTGATGTTCTGTGAAACTTACATTTTATTTCTTGTTCTCCCTTGAAATATTTGCTGCTTTTTTCTGCTCCCTCTACTGATATTTTTAAATCAATTTCTACTTTATCCTGCCATCCCTGAACTCTTGATAGCCCTTTCAGATTTTGGCAGTGTGAACACATACTGGGAACCTGAGTGACCACACCACCACCAGGAATCCAAGAACTCTTCATCTTTCATGAATTTTATCCTATTAGGAGGTGGTAAAAACCATGGGTGACCTGATAGTAACAGTCATTGGGGTAGAAGTCCTTTTTCCTTGGACTGGTATCTTTTCAGTTGTTGCTTGATCCTGTCTTCGAGGAAAAAGTATCTAAAGTCACCTTAGGAATTTTCAGAGGAGGGAACATCTTATATAGCTTTCTCTAAAGTTTCTTTTGTATTTCAATATGCTCACAAATTTACAGAAAGACTTACATAAAAGCTACTGGTAAACTGAAGAAATCTTCCGTATTGTAACTAGTGTCATTTGCAAACTTCAACCTCAGAACATGACCTTTAGTCTGTGGATTCCAGATAAAAATAGGCATGAATAAGATGACTAAGAATGTAATGGGGAAGAATTGCCCTGCTTTCCCATCTTGGAGCCATAGGTCATCTTGCTAGAGCTATTTTTACCTATATATTTGTCATTCTTGATCATAAACCACTTATTTATGTCATATCTATCTCTAAAGACCTAAAAGCACTTTATGTAGTTTTTGATCTTAAGATCTGGTTATGGTGACTAAAAGGCCTGTTTCCCAAATCCAGTTGTGGAAATAAGAGCATAGATGTGAATTGGTGTTTAGGGGCCCCACTTCCCAATTCACTAAATGTGGCTGCTGGAATAGAGATGAGGATTTTAGTTGGTATTTTGGTTTGGGACAGCAAGGGCTTAGAGACCCCAAGTGGTTTGGGATAGCAGACCGGGTGGTTGGTTTATAGGGAGAGGAGGCACATGGTCTAAGTGCTGACTGGCTGCATATCAGGCAAATCCTCCAAAGAGAAAGGGAGGGTCTACTTGGAAAGATGGCTGTCAGCGACTTCTGTTTGTCTTATGCTTCTCTCAGGGAAAAACATGCAGTCCTCTAGTGTCGTCCATGCACATTCTATGGGTGAGGAGAACACATTGGTTCTGGTTAAACAGCTAGTGCTTTTGACAGCTGTGCCAGGAAGGGTTAGGACCAACTACAAATTAATGTGGGTTGTAAAATGTAGTGTGTTTCCTTAACTTCCTGTTTTTCCTGAGGAAAAAAAATAAATCTTTTATTAAAATGCAAAAAAAAAAAAAAAAAAAGACACATTGATGCACAGAAAATTAGCAAAGGATACCAAGGGGTCATAGCTAAATGAAAATAGGAATTCAGAGAGGTAAATGTAGGCTGAATCTAGTTTCTGATTTGAAGGTATTTGGCAAATCAGGTGAACTTGTTCCTCACATTTCACAGCATCAAGAGACAAAGCCTGTGGTAGGAATCTAATAAGAGACTCACCTCATGAAATTGGAACCCTAAATAGCTATATCATAATGTTAGAGTAATCTAGCAAGAAGTAACACCCCCAAGGGGCTACACTAAACAGTATCTATTCCAAACTATAATGCAAGTTGAAGGGAAAACCATCTATCTTTTTTAAAAATCTCTAATCACAAACTGGCCTTTAGACATGTTTACTACCTAAATTCATTCTACCTGGGTGTTAAAGAAAACACAACAAAAACTCCCCCAGTCTATGAATTTAGTTTAAAGTTGCCTTGGACTGATAATGTCATAGGCACCTGGCATAAGCAAATGCAAACCCTCTCTGGAGAAACTCATCTTTAATTTAGGTTTTAAAGTATTCCCATAGATAGTTTTATATGAGTTTATAAGACAGTCAGAATTACAAAAGACACAAGGAAATAAGGAATCATTTGTGAGATCTAGTAGAATCAGACTTCAGATGTGGGAAATTAAAATATTAATTGATTCCAATATGTTTAAATAAACAGAAGAAAAGATGGACATATGAGAAAAGAACAAGGAATTATGAGATATGATCAAGCATATTTTTTGAGACAGAGTCTCACTTCATTGCCCAGGCTAGAGTGAGTGCCGTGGCATCAGCCTAGCTCACAGCAGCCTCAAACTCCTGGGCTCAAGCAATCCTGCTGCTTCAGCCTCCCGAGTAGCTGGGACTACAGGCATGAGCCACTATGCCCAGCTAATTTTTTTTCTATATATATTAGTTGGGCAATTAATTTCTTTCTATTTATAGTAGAGACGGGGTCTCACTCTTGCTCAGGCTAGTTTCGAACTCCTGACCTCGAGCAATCCACCTGCCTCGGCCTTCCAGCGTGCTAGGATTATAGGCATGAGCCACCACGCCCGGCCGATCAAGCATATTTAAAAAAAAAAAAAATTGATGATGTTAAAAGCTTAAATGGTGACTTTAACAATTGATTAAATACAACTGAATTGAACATTAGTGAATTAAAAGATGGATCTGAAAAAATTATACAATAGCAGCACAAAGGAACAAAGAGGTAGAATATATGAAAGGAAGGCTTAGAGTGAAAAGGACTAATATGCTTCTAACTAAAATTCTCAGAGGAAAAGGGGAGAGAAATGGCTGGATGTGGAGAGAAAGAAATTGAAGAGAAAATTGCTGAGACTTTTCTAGAGCTAATGAGAGATATCAAATCACAGATTCAAATAGCCCTATGAATTTTAAGCAAGATAATAAAAAGAAACCCATCCCTAGACACATTGTACTGAAATCACAGAACTCCAAAGACAGAGAAAATCCTTAAAGCAACTAGGACAAAAGGACAGACACCCATAAGGGAATTACATATAGAGCAACAGCTGACTTCTCAATAGTGGCAAAGGAATCCACAAGGCCATGGAGGAAATAAAATGTTCAGTGTTCTGAGAGAAAGTAGCTGTCAACACAGAAATATCCAGCAACATTATTTGTTAAGAGCAAAGGTGAAATAAAGACATTTTCCGACAAATGTTAAGTTTCTTGTTAATAGACCCTCAATAAAGGGGATTTTGAAGGATGCATTTCAGGAAGAATAAAAGGAATCCCAGATAGAATTTCTGAAAAGCAAGAAGGATTAGGTGAGCAAACACATGGCAAATATGTGGGAAAATCTAAGAAAACATTACTGGATAAAAAAATAATTATAACACCCTGTGGATTAAAAATACACTTAAATTAATAATAACAATAACATGTAAGTTGGAATGAGGTGATCAGTTCTAAAATTTCATAAGGTTTTTATGTTATATGTTATTTTTCCCCAAAAAGGGAAAAAGTGAGGAAGAAAATAAATTTAAAAAGCTACAGAATGCTTTTATATTATTAAATTTGTAATATGATTGATGGCTGTATAAGTGGCTGGAAAAATATTGACAGTTTCAATTTATTTTAACAGACCTAGAGATTTTAAAGAACTGGGTTTGTGCTTCAGTATAGGTTATCAAAGTCTCTTTCCTTAATTTAGTGATATACAACTCATTAAGAAAAAAATGGTGTCATTGGGGCAATATAGAAATACAAAATAGCCACTCTTTACAAGACTCTGTGCCAGGTGCTATGGGGCAGGGCAGGAAGAGAGAAAGCACAGTGATTTTGATGAGCC